AACCCTCAGTTTGTTTCTCAGAGTCCATAGTCTCTCATGGTTTGTCTCCCTCTCCGATTTCCCCGCCTTCATTTTTCCCTTCCTACTATCTTTTTTTTTTTAACATATAATGTATTATTTGTTTCAGGGGTACAGGTCTGTGATTCATCAGTCTTACACAATTCACAGCGCTCAACATAGCACATACCCTCCCCAATGTCTATTGGGGGATGGCTACCCCATCCCTTCCACCCCCACCACTCCAGCAACCCTGTTTGTTTCCTGAGATTAAGAATTCCTCATATCAGTGAGATCAGATGATACTTGTCTTTCTCTGATTGACTTATTTCGCTTAGCATAATACCTTCTAGTTCCATCCACGTCATTGCAAATGGCAAGATTTCGTGGTTTTTTTGATAGCTGCATAATATTCCATTGTATATATATACCACATCTTCTTTATCCATTCATTTGCTGATGGACATCTTGGCTCTTTCCACAGTTTGGCTATTGTGGACATTGCTGCTATAAACATTGGGGTGCACATACCCCTTCAGATCACTACATTTGCATCTTTGGGGTAAATACCCAGTAGTGCAATTGCTGGGTCGTAGGGTAGGTCTATTTTCAACATTTTGAGGAACCTCCATACTGTTTTCCAGGGTGGCTGCATAAAATATTCTTCAATTCTGAATCCAATCAAGTTTCACATGTTACATTTGACTATAATATCTTTTTAGTTGGTAGCTGTTGATGTAGAAGTGGCCTCCTCCTCTTTCTGTTCTTCACAATATTGACTCCTTTGAGGATCAGTGCCAGATGTTCAGCATCCTAGGTTCGCCTGATTATTTCCTGGTCATGTTCAGATCAGAAATTTCTAGCAAGAACATCTCCTAGATATCCATGTGATAGTTTTTAAGTAATGATAGATTACTTAGAGAACAGAGTCAGAATAGAATTTTTTTGAAATCTAGATTCCTCACGATTTATTTCTTAATTGTAAAGATACAATAAAAAATTCCTTGCTCTTCATCCCTCATCTTCACTTTAAGTACAGTAAATGGATCCAAAAATAATTATAATTTTATATAAGGTCGATAAAATATTTTATAGAATGCTCTTATTATATGCTAAGATCTAACTTTTAGACTTTCTTTTTATTCTTTCAATGGTATACAAAGTATAAATCAAAGCCATTCTGTGAAAAACTGCTTTCCTGGGTGAAAAGTAGTAACTGTGCCAAAGTTATTGTTCTTTCAAGCAGTCATTCATATCACCGTAATGATCTACAGCTTCGCAGGTATGTTTTTGCCTTTGAAAAATTTTGTTATGATTTACACAGTATTATGATGGTATCTCTGTTAAAAAGCTAAAATAAGTTTTAAAAGCCATGTATTTCTTTGCCTCCCCCCTCTGGAATTTATAGAAAGAAGATAAAAGAAAGTCAAGAGACGGGAGTATGGTTAGGTAGTTCTATGGTTGGGGCACAAGGAAGGCTTTGGTGTAAAGATAGAGATGTTTCTGGAACTGTGCTTCGATTGTTTGGTATTGTGTGTGGCGACATCACAGAGCCTAGCTGATGAAGAGAAAGAGAGAGGGTACCTAAGATTCATTGGATGATAATTTTTGGGGAAGATTGGATTCACATTTCTATTTACTTCTATTTATTTAGCCATCACAGAAATCCATTTGCCTTTAAGTATAACTCCCAGGCATGTCAGACTGAATTCCTAAATAGTAGGCAAAACATCCAAGAGATAGAAATTATAAACTATTTATTTCATTATCATTTATGCACCAAAAAGTCATTATGAAGAAACATTAGCCAGGACTAACCTTTCAAAATTGGAGCTAATTTTTAGTAATCTCACAAATAGATATAACATGTGTAGGAATCTCACAAAAGACCTCATGGCCAGAAGGGAGCATAGCTGTGGGAAATAGGTTATCTCCATGATGGCCTTGCCTTAGTTTAAGTTGGCCTGTGTCTTTATACTCTCTCCTAAGTATGTAAATAGCAAGCCAGAGCATATTTTTACATGTTATTCCGTAGACTGCTGAAACTTGTGCTTTGCTTTAGCAACAGAATATAGAGAGAACAAACATTTGCTTTAAAAACTTGCCTTAATGTTCATATTTATTGTGGGTTTTTAGAAAGTTAATTATATGATTGCTTCTAGTACTCCCTTCAGATACCTACTCACACCTTTTGTGCAAAAAAGTGTTCAAGCTAAAATAATGAGCCTTAACTGGGAAGAAATGGAAAAAAGCCCATGCATTCCTGAAATAGATGATTCTGAGTTTTGTATTCGTATTCCTGGAGGAGGTATCACAAAAACACTCTATGATGAAGGGTGAGTTTGTTTGTCTGTTTGTTCATTTGTTCCCACCTTATTTAAAAATAAAAGTAAGAGGGGTGCCTGGCTGGCTCAGTCAGAAGGGCATGCGACTCTTGATCTCAGGGTAATGTGAGTTTAAGCACCACATTGGGCATGGAGCCTACTTTTTTAAAAATAGTGGAAAGTAAGATAAGTGAAGAGAAGACTTGAAATTTAGTCTTAGGAAAATTGGTTCTTAAAAAACCATATTTAACACTTTATAATGTGCAGCATGTTAAGGATCCTGATACTTACTGTATGTAACCTCTACAATCAATCTTTTTTTTAATTATGGTAAAATATATGAAACATTAACCATTTTTTATTTTCTTTTTTTATTGTTATGTTAATCACCATACACTACATCATTAGTTCTAGATGTAGTGTTCCGTGATTCACCGTTTGTGCATAACACCCATAATGTAACCATTTTTAAGTGTACAGTTAATTGCTGTTAATGAATTCACAGTGTTGTATACCCATCACCAACTATCTGCTTTCAGAACTTTGTCATTGTTCTAAACAGAGAATCTGTACTTATTCAATAATAACTCCTATTTAGTTCTGCAAAATCCATACTATTGTCCTCACCTTCATTTCTGATTTTAGTAATTTGAGTCTTTTTTTATTCTCAGTTTTGTTGATCTTTTCAAATAACCAACTTTTGGTTTTATTGATTTTTCTCTATTGTTTTACTGTTCTCTATTTTATTTATCTCTAATCTTCATTATTTCCTTTCTTCTGCTAACTCCAGATTTAGTTTGCCTTTATTTTTGTAGTTCCTAAGTGTAAACTTAAGTTATTAATCTGTGAAATTTCTTCTTTTTTAAATATGCATTTGTAGCTCTAACTTTCCCTCTTAAACTGCCTTAGCTGCATCTCTTAAGTTTAGCATGTTGTGTTTTCATTTTCATTCACCCCTAAATTATCTAATTCACCTTGTGATTTCTTCTTTGACCCATTAGTTGTTTGAAATTGTGTTGTTTAATTTCCACATATTTGTGAATTTTCCAGTTTTGCTTCCATTACTGATTTCTAGTATCATTCTTTTGTGATTGAAAAAGACACTTTGTATGATTTTAATCTTTTTCATTTATCAGGTCTTATTTTGTGCCCTACCAAAGGTCTGTCCTGGAGAACCGTCCGTGTGCACTTGAGAAAAATGTGTATTCTGTTTTTGTTGAGTGGGGTGTTCTGTATATATGTTAGGTCTAATTGGTAATTCTGTTTCCTTCTCAGTCTTTTCCATCCATTATTGAATGTAGGCTGTTGAAGTCTCCAGCTATTACTATAGCATCGTATCTAGTTCTCCCTTCAATTCTGTCAGTGTTTGCTTCATATATTTTGGGGGCTCTTGTTTTGTGAATATATCTTTATATTTGTTATGTCTTCTTGATGAATTGGCCCTTTTATCAATATATAATAGCCTTCTTGGTCTTTCATAACAGTTTTTGACTTGAAGTCTATTTTGTCTGATATTTGCCATCCTGCTCTCTTGGTTACTGTTTATATGGAATATCTTTTTCCATCTTTTCACTTTCAAACTGTGTGTGTCCTTACATTCAAAGTAAGCCTCTTGTAGATAGTACATAATTGGATCATGTTTTTAATCCATTCTGCCAATCTGTCTTTTGATTAGAGAGTTTAATCCATTTGCATTAAAAGTAATTATTGATGAAGGACTTGTCATTTTGCTATTAGTTTTCTATGTATCTTATAGCTTTTTTGTTCTTCATTTCCTCCTTTACTGCCTTCTTTTGTGCTTGGTTGATTTTTTATAGTGACATCTTTTGATTGTCTTCACATTTTCTTTTGTGTATATTCTATAGATACTTGCTTTGTGGTTTCCATGGTGATCGCATGTAACATTCTAAAGTTATAACAGTCTAATTTGAGTTGATACTAATTTCACTTCAGTTGCACACAAAAACTACTCCCATGCACACTGCCTCCCCCAACCCATTATGATATTGTTGTCACAAATTACATCTTTCTATATTGTGTGCCCAATAACAGATTTATAGTTATTTTGGGGCATTTTTCTTTTAAATACTCTACAGTCACTCTTGATTAGTCTTTGGGAATCATGAACTTTCAGAAGGCAAGTGAAAGTGAAGGTGGAAATTAGAGATCTTTTTTTTCTTTTAGCCACTTTTTGTAAATTGATTTATATCACTTATGTGATGGCCCAGCCTGCCATCAGATTTGTAGACATTTACACTGTCCCCATTTTTGCCTGCCCTTAGCTTCCTGTCTCATACGACCTGAGGCTAAGTCTGGGGCTAACCAGTACGCCTTGCTGTATGCTTCAGCTGGCTCTGACTCTTCCTTCTTGCCAGGAGTTGATGTGCCTGGTGGGTTCATGGAAGACAGAGCCAATGGTTATGAAGAGGGGGAGGGGCAGTATTTAGAGGGTGGCATCTGCTGCTTCTCAAGCTCATATAGTCTACTCCCTGCTTTCCCATGAGGAGAGATGAATAAGGAGCATCTCCTTGTGCCGTCAGTGGTGGCTTAAGAGAATTGGGCAGAGCTAACCTAGAAAAAATTTAAATATGTCCCCGCCATCATTGCTCAAAGTCAACCAATAAATCTGCCTCCTTAACATAATACATTTCAAAGAGTGTAAACCTAGCCTTGCCAAATAGAATGACTGGTTTGCTTGCTCTAAAATCTACATTGTGTTGGGGCGCCTGGGTGGCTCAGTCGTTAAGCATCTGCCTTCGGCTCAGGTCATGATCCCGGGGTCTGGGATCGAGCCCCGCATCAGGCTCTCTGCTCCACGGGAAGCCTCCTTCTCCCTCTCCCACTCCCCTTGCTTGTGTTCCCTCTCTCGCTGTCTCTCTCTCTGTCAAATAAATAAATAAAATCTTTAAAAAAAAAATAAAAAAAATAGAATAAAATAAAATCTACATTGTGACTTCTGCATGACCCGAAGAAGTCATAATAGTAATATAAATAGTAGTCATGGTAATAGCAAATTAAGTGCCTGGTACTGTTCTGTGCACTTTACATGTATTAAATTATTTAATTCTCATAATAAGCTCATAGGTATGTATTGCTGTTAACTACATGTTATAAATAAGAAAATTGAAGAGCAACAAGATTAAATAACTGCTTAAAGCCATGTGGGTAATCTGGCAGAGCCAGGATTCAAACCTAGGCATCTGGCCCCAAATCCTGCACTTTGAACCACTTCATTCTAGAGCTAGGATTCATGGTTCAGGATCACAGTGAGTTTTATTCTTTGTCTAAAAGGTGAACTTGTTCCTTGTTATTTGTAATTATTTTTGCCCCTCCTTCTTTCCAAAATATTCAAGACTTCTCTGTTAGAAAGGATACAGGCATTTTAGCTTGTTTTCCCAGTGCAGCAGTTTTGTCTTTCTCTGGCCATACTTGCCTACCATTTCAGCTTTCTCTTTTTCCCTGAAAACCTACTCTAGTCCTATTAAAACCATCATTTCTCCCCATTTTTCTTTTTTTTTCTTAGTCTGTCATTTGTGTTTTTACTTCTTTTCTTGTCTAGTTTATTCCCCATAATATAAAATATCACTTCAGCTATTTTTTTGGTGGAAGCCCTGGCTACCTAATCATTCTCTGCACCTGCCCTACAGACCACCAGCTTTCAGTCCTTCTCTTGCTTCATTCGGGCCACATCATTTGTAGCCTAGACTGCTGTTAGTCTGATTGGACTGCCGTAACAAAATACCGTCCACAGGGTGGCTTAAACAAAGAAATTTATTTATTCACAGTTCTGCAGGCTACAAGTCTGAAATCAGGGAGCCAGCATGGTTGGGTTCTGGTGAGGCCCCCCTTCCTGGCTTGCAGATGGCTACCTTCTGTCCATATCCTCACATGGCAGAGAGAGACCTCTCTTTCCTTCTCTCCTTATAAGGCCACAGTCCTGTCAGGTTAGGGCCTCTGTCTTATGACTTAGTTTAATCTTAATTACCTGCAGAGATCCTATCTCCAGATATAGTCACATTGGGGGTTAGGGCTTCAGTTTTGGAGGGACATGGGTTTGGTCTATAGCAGCTGCTCTCAAGATCTTTTGATTGATTCCCCCTGCCTCCTCCATTCTCCCTCACTCTTCTCCAGCTTGAGTGTTGCTAGAATTAAAATTCAAAACTGATCACAACATCCCCTGAGTAAAGTCCATCAGCGGTTTTACTTGCTGTGTGCAGAATCTGGTTTGTACTCCTTAAGGTGCCATACAAGGCCCTGCAGGATTTCCTTGCCTGGCTCATTCCTTGGTGCCCTGGACTCCAGCTAAACGACTAGCAGTTAGTTTCCTGAAAGCTGTCTCATTCTTCCTTCCCTTGTCCCACGTACTTTTCTCCTCTTATCTGCCTTGCAAAAACGAACCCAGTTTCCAAGAGTCACCTCACAGCACTCCTTGTGTCCTGACTTGCTTCTCCCTTCTGCACAAGGAATTTACTACTCTCTTTGTATTCCTACAGCTCACTGCTCCTTCACACCGACTTCTTAGTTCTTTACAAATCAGTTTACTTTTGCTTTGGATTTTGTTAGAGTAATGATAGCAGACTTGCCATCTTGCCATCAACAACTGGAAATTGGACAAAATTAATGTAACAACTTTTTCAGACATTGGATAGCAAACAGCACACAGTTGTGATTCCTGAGAGAAGGCAAATAAGTCCTACAATTGCCCCAGCTTTCTGCTTGCAGATACTTTGTGGACTACAACACAAAGAAGGGGAGGGAACCTGAGGAGAGCGGTCTTGCTGAGTTGAGAAGACAGATATCATGATTGGGGAATGCTAGGACACCTGGAATGAACAAGGCAGAGAACCAGAGAAGGGCTATTCAAGAAGAGCCTTAGGGGGTCTCCCTGAGTCTTTGTCAGAATTCTGAGCCACACATGTGTAGGGTAAACTCCATGAGACCAAAAGAATAACTTCTGGGTAGCTGTAAACTTGCTCACAAAGTTAGCAATGATAGCAAAATATTATAAAAGTTAGACGTACTCATCATAGAACATTTGGAAAATGTAGAATAGTCCAGAGAAACAATATTTATAATACTCAGTCCTATCACCCAGAGGTAACTACCACTACTAATTTTTCATTTGTTCTCTTCCCAGCTCCTTTAAAATATATTTGAATTGAATGTGTGTACCTGCAAGATACATCAACTCTAACTTAAACTTTAGAGTTCATCTTATTTAAAAAATGTTTCTCACAAAATCAGTTTTCTTTTAATTTTCTAATGCAAATCTTTTCATTTATAATCAAACCCATGTTTAATGTTCAGTGCAATTATATATTCACTGCAATAAAGAATTTTTGAAATTGAGAAAAAAACCATTTTTGCTAAATTTTTTGTAACATATATATTTTGCCTTCCCATTATGAGAACAAATATATATTCTGATCTCTGGAAAAGATAATATTAGTTACTCTAATGATAGGTGGTGGCAGTGGTGTGGCTGGCCTGAAATCCCTTATACTTAATTGGAATCAAAGTACATTTATAATTTAATAATGGATGTATCGCATGTGCTAGATTTTAATGTCACAGAAAGTAACAAAATTAGCCACTCTCCACTTTCCATTTTTACAGAGAGCACCAGAGGATGCTATTAAAACTCTTAATGCTACTCTTTGTGTTACAAACTAGTAGTGGAGGCACTGTAAATTCAAGACATACCCCTGCATTTTTTAACCTAGAGGCTTGAAAATAAAGGCACAGCCAGGGAAGCTAGCCTCCTCTGGGCAGGAGCCATTTCTAAGGCTACCATAGCATGAATGTTTAGGAACTAGAATCTTCTGAGTCATCACGGCTCACAGTGCTACCATACAAAGCTTGAGAGCCCCTAAGATATATGAGAATTACATGGTGAGATGATGTAACTAGTGCTAACAACTTCTGATTTCTAATATTTATTTTAGAGAGGGAGGGAGGGAGGGAGCATGCAAGCGGGAGGGGCAGGGCAGAGGAAAAGGGAGAAAGAGAATCCCAAGCAGACTCCACCCTCAGTATGGAGCCCAGTGAGAGGCTGGATCTCACGACCCTGAGATCATGACCTGAACTGAAATCAAGAGTTGGACACTTAACCAACTGAGCCACCCAGGCACCCGGACCAATTTCTGATATATAGAGACTGAGATGCTGTGGTAGGCTCTCCTGGTACATCTGAGACTTCTGAACCTACCTCTCAGAGTCTTCTCCACATCTGAAATCCCTTGCTTAGAAACCCAGCTCACCTTTATTTCTGTAGCTCTCTGTCAGTCACGTGCTCTCAAGTTTTGGCATGAAATTTTTCTCATAGTTCTTGGTTTTAGGGTATTAGAAATAATTTTTGCTTTTGTTGGCAAACAGGAAGCTTTTTGCATTTATTTATCTCCATCTCATCACTAGCTTGAGGCATTTATAGCATACAGTTAAGAGACTTTTGGAGTCCAAAAGATCTGGGTTCAAGTCCCACCTCTGCCACTTCATAGATATAGAACTTTGAGTATGTTAACTACATTTCAAACCCTTTACACTTCAGTTACTTCATCATAATAGCTAGCACATACATAGTATTGACTATATGTTGGGCACTGTTTTAACCACTTTGCCTCTACTGCCTCTTCTACACCTCCCAACAACCTGTGAGGTAAGTTCTGTTGTGTTCCCTCTTTTACAAATGAGAAACACTGAAGCTCTAAGTAACTTGCCCAACATGTCTGGTAAGTGGCAGAGCTAGAATTTGAATTCAGGCATTCTGTCCGTGTTCTATTCCAAATTGATTCAGTTATAAAATGGAGATAGTTATAACTTCCTCAAGAATTGTAGGATTGAACGATAAAATATGCAGATAGTGCTTAGCACATAATAAATCACTCAGTAGGTGGAATCTGTAAGAAGTAATATAGTAAAGGGGCACCTGGGTGGCTCAGTCGGTTAAGTGTCTGTTTGTGACTCAGGCCTTGATCCTGGGGTCCTGGGATCCAGCCCCGTGTCGGGCTCCCTGCTCAGTGGGGGGCCTCCTTCTCCCTCTCCCTGCACCCCCGCTTATGCTCTCTCTTGCTGTCTCTCAAATAAATATCTTTTTTAAAAAAAAGTAATAGTACATTTTTTCCCTTTATTCAATTCCACAATTTTCCTTCCTGTTTTAGGTTATTAGTAACAAGGGTGTTATTTTCTTTCAGTCTCTTTGCTATGGTGCTTCTGAAAATCACTGTCTTCTACAGCAGATTTGGGAAGTAGAACATATTTCAGTGTGGATGGTTTTTCATGCAGCCTCGTATGAGACGCAAACTTGCATATGCCCAGAGTGGGCATTACATGGCTTCTAGTCCTGTCCCCACAAGTAGCATATATTTGGAGCAAAGGAGGATAAATAAGTGAGCTTATTATGGGGCATCTTCTCCTTTCCTAAAACCTGGCAGATTGTCTTAGCTATAAAAACAGACACAGATGGAATCAGCATCTTGTATCAATAGAAGAATACTTAATTATTCTCTGTATTTGTTGTAGCTGTTCTAAAGAAATCCCAGTGGTGGTTCTGCTGAAATTTGTTTCAGAAGGAGACAATATCCCAGATGCATTAGGTCTTGTTGAGTATCTTAACGAATGGCTTCAGATAATCAAACCATGTGTAAGTGTTACTACACTTAAGCCTCTGATTTCTCCGGTTATGTATTTATAAACTTGCATTTTTTTATTCTCTATAAGTAGACCAAATAAGTGAAAGTTTGTTAAGTATAGATACATCTTTATATAAAATTTAGTTCAGTTGAGCTTTTGAAAAGAAAAGAGGGCATTTAACTAACCAGTTGTCTACAGTTGTTTCATTAAGACTGATTTTCCAAAAAGGAAAACCATAAGTACTTCATTATATTAATTGTTCATGTTGCATTAATTATACCAGACATATTCTTAGAAAAATAAACAAATTTCTTTAGAATTCAGGACTTTTTTTTTTTTAAGGAAAGCAAAACCTGTTTATGTGAGCAATACTATAACTCTTGAATGTGCATTATAATTAAATACTTTTCTGTATTATGAGGTAAAAGCATTACACCCAGGGAAATCAGTTAGCTTTTAGGCATAATAGAAGTACCATAATGATATGATAAAAGAACAAATTGATACAAATCACACAGCACTGATTTTTATTATTATTATTATTATTATTTAAACCCTATTCCTTTCAAATATGATTTTACTTGATGGACTCCATAGCCTTCTGGCATATCTTTATGACTTGGAACTTAAGGAAATTTATCTTCAGTTAACATAGAGACAAATTTATTGCTTTGTTTTTCCTTACAATAAAACTCAGCTAAAAATGTCAAACCCAAAAAGAGCAAAAACTAACAAAAAACTAGAGAAGGGCGAGTTTTATGCGACTTAAATGCTAAAAGGGGATTTGGTCATAAAATTGAAGGATTAAAGTATTTTGTTCTTCAGTTACAGTGTGATGACCCCACAGCATCTGCCTTGAAGTGGAAAATACCAAGTTCGTGGAGATTACTCTTTGGTAGTGGTCTTCCCCCTGCGCTTTTTTGATCTTTTTTCAGTTTTATACCTTATGTCCCAAGACACTTATTACCAACACAACTGTTAAACAACTATATAAAAAGTTATATTATCTGTGAATGTATTAGAAAATAAATCTTTACTTTTCACAAAAAAATCTCAAAGAAAATGGATTAACAAAAAGTTCTTTTACCATGCTTTTCACTGTATTCAACAAATGTAAATTTTGTACAATAAAATATTTCCTAAGTAATTTTGTCTGAAATGTCTTTTTTTTTTTTTAAACTCAGACTTCTGTATTAGTTTCCTATTTCTGCTGTAATAAATTACCACAAACTTAGTGGTTAAAACAACACAATTTATTATCCTGCAGTTCTGGAAGTCAGAAGTCCAAAAATAGTAGAAGAATACTTAATTATTTTCTGTATTTATAGTAGCTATTCTAAAGAAATCACAATGGTGGTTCTGCTGAAATTTGTTTCAGATGAGACAATATCCCAGATGCATTAGGTCTTGTTGAGGATCTTTTTTTTTTTTTTTAAGATTTACTTACTCATTTTAGAGTGTGTGAGTGAGGGGAGGGACAGAGGGAGAGGGAAAGAGAGAATCCTCAAGCAGACTCCCAGCTGAGCACAGAGCTCGATTCAGGGCTTAATCCCAGGACCCTGAGATCATGACCTGAGCCAAAATCAAGAGCTGGTCGTTTAACCAACTGAGCCACCCAAGCGCCCCTGGTCTTGTTGAGTATCTTGATGAATGGCTTCAGATAATCCACTGGGCTAAAATAAAATCTCCAGAAACCAATACCTAGGAAATGGAAACCTACTGAAGCACAATGATTTACAAGGGTACAGACAAATGAAATCAGAACAACAGTGAATGAACAAAATGAGAGAATATCAATGAAGAGAAAGAAATTAAAAACAGAACCATATAGAATTCTGAAAAATTCACTGGTGGGGTTCAGCAGCAGATTTGATCAAGCAGAAGAATCAGCAATTCTGATCATTGAAATTATCAAATGAAAGGAATAAAAAAATAAGGAAAATGGAGCAAGCCTAAGGGACCTATAAAATAGCATAAAGTGGACCAATATATGCATTATGAGAGTCCCAGAAGGAGAAAAGAGCGAGGAAGAGACAAAACTTATTTGAAGAAGTAATGGCTGAAAATTTCCCTAATCTTAAGGAAGGAAATGGACATCCAAATTTTGAGCTCAAAGGACTCCAAATAGAATGAACCCAAACAGCCCCACACCCAAGACTATAGTTTAAAAAAAAAAAAAAAAAACCTCAAAAATAGAAGACAATCTTGAAAAGTAGTAGGAGAAAAGCGACTCGCCACATTTAAGTGAGCACCCACAAGATAATGAATGAGTGGATATCTCAGCAGAAACCTTAGAGTCCAGAAGGGAGTGGGATGTTATATTCAAAATGCTGAAACAAAAGACTGGCCAATCAAGAATACTATCCAGCAAAAGTATTCTTCACAAATGAAGAAGAGAGAGAGTTTTGCAGATGAACAAAAACTGAGGAGTTCATCACCACTGGATGTGCCTTTTAAGAAACGCTAGAGGGAGTCCCACCCTTTGAAAAAAGATGGTAGACAGCAACGCGAAAGCATACAAAAATCTAAAACTCTGTAGTAAAAGTAAATAGGCAAATGCAGAGTCCTTTATCACTGTCTGTAATGGTGGTGTGTAAAGTACTTTTAGTTCTGGTATAGACAATTAGAAGACAAAAGCATTAAAAATTATTATAAAACTATGTTAATAGATAATAAAGACATAACTTGTGAATCAAAAAAGGGGGGGCGGGTGGAGAGATGTAAAAGAATAGAGTTTTTGTGGGGCACCTGGGTTCCTCAATCAAGTGCCCAACCCTTGGTTTTGGCTCAGGTCATGATGTCATGGTCATGAGATCGAGCCTGTGTCAGGCTTCATGCTTAGCGCAGAGTCTGCTTGAGATTCTTGCCCCCTTCCTTCTCCTTCCCCCATGGCCCCTCCCCCATTCATGCTGTCCCTCAAATAAATAAAATCTTACATAGAGTTTTTGTATATGATTGAGATTAGGTTGTTATCAGCATTAAAATAGATTGTTATAAAAATAAGATGTCTTATGTAACTCTTGCAGTAACCACAAAGAAACTGTTACTGAACTCAAGTTCAGCTGCCTGTTGCCTGAAAGATCATCACTCATGAGACAAGTTTTGATAGGAAAGGAATTTGAGCTTTATTCAGGAGGCCAGCAACCTGGGAAGAAAGCAGACTCTTGTCCAAAAGCCAACTCCGAGGTTTCTGCCTGGTCTGGGGATTTTAAAGGGGTTTAGGGTAGTTTATCAGTAAAGATTGTGCAGCGGCCTGCAACATTTCTTGATTATGTGCAGACTTGATGTTTCCAACTACAAACATCTCAGTGCTCCGGGGTTGTGTGAGGAGGGGGTGCAGTTCTTTCTTTTCTCATGTTGTGTAGGAATGCTCTGTTCTTTCGGCAAGGTCTACAGATATACAAAGGGAGGTTAGTAAAATCATTTATGTAACCTAAAAGAAAAAAACATTTTGCTAAAAAAATTTTGCTGGGCTAATCAGAAAACTGAGGTGGCTTCAAACAGACTTACTGGCCTCTGTGGCCTGGGAAAGTTCTGGTTCTTCACTCTTCAAGGCCAGTGGTCTGCGAATCTCAAAGTAAATTAGTTCTGTTACAGATCAAGGGTCTTATGTCAGCAAGTAAGGAGTGTGTTAACTTGAAGCCAGTTAACCCTTAAGACTGACAGGAGTGCTGTTAGAAAAACACCCATAGAAGATACACAAAAGAAAATGGGGCGGTGGGGGGGAATCAAAGCATGTTAACACAAAAACATCAATGAAACACAAAGTCAACAAAAGGAAAAGGGACAAGAAAAAAAACAAAATGGCAATAGTAAGTGCTATGGGATGTTCTGAATGTTTATGTCCCCCAAAATTTGTATGTTGAAATTCTAACCCCCAAAGCCCTTAGCTAGACAAAAAAGAGAGAAGACAACTAAAATCAGAGATGAAAGAGAAATTACAACTGATGCCATAGAAATACAATAGATTATAAGAGTATTATGAAAAATTATATGCCAACAAATTGGATAACCTAAAAGAAGTGGATAAAGTCCTAGAAACACACGCTATCTAGTAAGACTCAATAATGAAGAAATAGAAAATCCAAACACCTATAACTAGTAAGGAGGTTGAATTAAAAACCTCCCAACAAAGAGAAGCCCAGAACCAGATGGCTTCATTGGAGTATTTTACCAAATATTTAAAGAATTAACATCAATCCTTCTCAAAGTCTTCCCAAAAATTGGGGCACCTGGTGGCTCAGTTGGTTAGGTGGCTGACTCTTGATTTTGGCTGGAGTCGTGATCTCAGGATCATGGGATCAGGCCTGCATCGGGCTCCACACTTGGTGTGGACTCTGCTTGTCCCTCTCTCTGATCCTCCTCTCTCTCTCTCTCAAGGGGCACCTGGGTGGCTCAGTCGTTGAATGTCTGCCTTCGGCTCAGGTCATGATCCCAGGGTCCTAGGATCGAGCCCCGCAGTGGGCTCCTTGCTCAGCGGGAAACCTACTTCTCCCTCTCCCACTCCCCCTGCTTGTGTTCCTGCTCTCACTCTGTCTCTCTCTGTCAAATAAATGGATAAAATCTTTTAAAAAATAAATAAACCTCTTCCCAAAAATTGAAGAGGAGGGAATACATCCTAATACATTTATGAGTCCAGCATTACTCTGATAGCAAAGTGCAAAATGCAGATCAATATCCCTGAATAATGTCAATGCAAAACTCTTCAACAAAATACTAGTAAGCCAAATCAATAACACTTTAAAAGGACTATACACCATGAACAAGTAAGATTTATCCCTGGAATTCAAGGACAATTTGACAAAAGAAAATCAATAAATGTAGCTTTAACAGAAAGGACAAAAATCACATGATCATCTTGATAAAGAAAAAGCACTTGACAAAATTTAACATTCTTTCATGATAAAAACACTCAAGAAACTAAGAATAAAAGGAAAGTACCTAAACATAATAAAGGTCGTATGTGAAAAGCCCACAGCTAACATCATACTCGATGGTGGAAAACTGAAAGCTTTTCCTCTAAGATCAGGAACAAGACAAGGATACTCACTCTTGACACTTCTATTCAACATAGTCCTGGAAGTCTTAGCCAGAGCAATTGGGAGAGGAAGGAAGGAAGAGAGGGAGGGAGGAGGAAAAGACATCCAAATTGAAAAGAGGGAAGTAAAGGTATTTGTTAGCAGATGACATGATTTTACATGTAGGAAACCCAAAAGATTCCACACAAAAACTGTTAGAACTGTTAAATGAATTCAGCAAAGTTGCAGGTTACAAAGCCAACACTCAAAAATCAGCTGCATTTCTATACACTAACAATGAACAATCTGAAAAGGAAATTAACAATCCCATTTACATTAATATCAAAAAGAATAAAATACTAATAAACTTAACCAAAGAGGCAAAAGAGTGAAGTGAAAACTCTAGAACATTGCTGACAGAAATTTAAAAAGACATGTATAAATGGAAAGGCATCCTGTGTTCATGGGTTGAAAGATTTAATATTATCAAAATGTCCATATTACCCAAACCAATCTTCAGATTCAATGCAATCCCTATCAAAATCCCAGTGGATTTTTGGGGACAAAAATTCCAAAATTCATATTGAATCTCAGAGGACCTCAAATAGCCAAGACAATCTTGAGAAAGAACAAAGTGGCGATCTCACACTTCATGATTTCAAAGCATATTACAAAGCTACAATAATCCAAAGAGAACAGTACTGTCATAAAGGCAGATATATAGACCAGTAGAACACAACAGAGAGCCCAGAAATAAGCACATACATGTGTGACCCAATGATCTTCAGTGAGGGCGCAAGGACTACCCAGTGGGGAAAGAACAGTCTCTTCAACAAATGGTGTTGGGAAACTGGATATCCACATGCGAAAGAATAAGGATGGATCCTTACCTAGTACCATATACAAGAATTAACTCAAAATGGATAAAGAACTAAACCTAAGACCTGGGGGGCACCTAGGTGGCTCAGCCGTTAAGCGTCTGCCTTCGGCGCAGGTCATGATCCCAGGGTCCTGGGATCAAGTCCTGCATCGGGCTCCCTGCTCTGCAGGAAGCCTGCTTCTCCTCCTACTCCCCCTGCTTGTGTTCCCTCTCTCGCTGTGTCTCTCTCTGTCAAATAAATAAATAAAA